ACTCAAAACATAAATTCCAATAGATAATAGATCCAAAACATGGAAAGTAAAACAAAACACTTTGAGAAGAAACCTTAGAATAATTATCTCAGCCCTTATTTGGAGGTCCAAGCAGGGAGTGTGGCTCCTCATAAATGTTTGGGCAAAGAGCAGTCCGCCTCTACTGGGAACATGACCTTCTGCGCCAGGCACATATGAGTGGTAAGGTGGGAGGAGACACTTGTCTAGACAGCCAATTCAGCTGAATCAACTCTGGTGATTAAATGGAGTAACATGTAACATCCAGATTGCCTTTTATAGCTAAAAGAATTTCCTCACTGCCTTGTGGAAAATGAAAGTTCTTAAATACAACGTAAAGGCCATCATCAATAAGGGAAAGAAAAAAAGTAAACCTAGCTGCGGTGGTTCCCTACACTTATAGTCTTAGCTACTGAGAAGACTAAGGTGGGAGGGTCACTTGAACACTCAAATCTGGGACCATCTTGGGCAGTTTAGTAAGACTCCCCTTCAACCTAAAAAATTAAAAAAATTAACATGTGTGTAAGGGTATAATGGCTATTATTGATTGTCAACATGACTACACCTGGAATTAACCAAAACCCAAGCTATTGGGTATACATATGATAGATTTTTTTAATTGGATCAATATATGCAATTTTATCAGTTCTGTTTCTCTAGAGAACCCAGACTAATACAGGATGCATGCAATATTGACTTGGCTGAACATGACATGGCTGCTGGACTCTCGAACTCACAGCAGCTCAGATTATCTACACAAAACCTGCGTAAGATTAAGCCTGTCAACACCTTGTCATGGAAGCGAGAGGGGTTCCCTGCTTCTTGATAATTTATAAGTAGTTAGCACAGTTATTGGCTGATGAGGGAGTAAGAGATATTTTCTTATGTAATGAAGCCATTCTTCTCCTGTTTAAAAACAAACAAAACAAAACAAAAACCTCTAACCCATGCTCAAGTGAACAACCCTAATGAAACTCATTTGATAATTTGATAAAAACACAAAAAGGCAAACAACTTCATCAGATATCACTGAAACTTCAGATTAAACCTGGTTACTATTGCTTGTCTACTAGTATATTAGAGTGGATCAAATGGAAAGGGTAATTCCCAGTAATAGTACTAATAAAGATTTGAAGCAGCTAGCATTATGCTACTAGGTAAATATAAATTAAGCAGGAACACTTTAGTAAATTCTCGTCAAATACAGATAACCACAGAGGTTAAGTACTTAGGTAAGGGACCAGTGCAGAGGAGGGTACATCCCAAGAAAGGATAAATAGAATACAGTGTTAAGAACAGATAAAGGGGATACCAGAAGAGAAGGATTAAGTGGGACATGAAATGGAAAAGCAAGATAAAGGAAGAAATATGGGAAGGGACAACTAACACTAATGGCCCTTTGAAAAACCATATGGACTTACTACTGTAGAAGTTACAATATATACACAAGTGAAAGAAATGTAAATGGAGTCACCATATTATGGAAGAAACTAGTGTCACAACTAGTCATCTTATGCCACTAAGTAAAATCTCCAGTGCCAGGAATGGGCTACATCTTGCTGAATTGTTGGCCAAATGGATCTCCTGGACCTCTACTTCAAACACTACAGGTACTGCCAAAGCTACTGTTGGCTGATGGGAAGACCCTGCTGCTGAGGACATCTATTTACTCATGCCATTGAACATGGAGAAGTTGAACTGGCTCTTAACTAGAAGCTTCACCTCTACCAATTAGCATTCACAGTGCTGGAAGGTACTATACAAGCTAGCACAGGTGAAAAAGTAATCATCATTCATATCACTAAGCTACAAACTCTGTAATCTACAGCATATATAAGATATACTGGTACAACAGTGGACAGATGTTATGGGAGTATCCAACCACTTTTTTTAAAAATTGGATTTAAGGCTCATTCCACGAGATAGAACCCATACCTGACACTGCTAAAGTAGCCAAGAACCTGTGACTAGATAGGCGATGAGCCTAAAGGGAATAATCTACTATCATTCTGCTAAAGGAACACAGCAATAATATGGTTCCCAATGACATTGTGCTATACCCATAGATCAGTACCTCCCTCAACCCTTATCACGGAAGTTTCTTGGTAGTAGACAGAAATTAACACAGTGACCCACAACTGGACTGTGCAGAAAATGAGAGATTTAGGATCATTCTATCCTAAATGGGATGTCTTCATCAAACCCCTCCCCTCAAGATTTGGGAAGGAGATGCAAAGATTATAAGAGCCAAAGGAAATGGTTGACTCCAAGGAAACAGTGTCTTCCAGATACAACAGAACTGATACATATACAAGCTCACAGAGACTATGGCAGCACATATAAGACTTAAGCAAGATAGGGCCCCAGCACCAAGAAGTTGGAAAGAAGATGCAAAGTCCAACTCCTAACCACAAGCTATTTGCAACTGATGGTTGGAAAAGGAAAAAAAAATCAGTTTTCTCCAATGGGCATCACTGGGTATTCTCAACCACAATCTTAGGCAAACTCTCATACCTCAAAACAAAGGGCCAGTATAAAATGAACTCCATGTTAGTATGCTGGAGGTTGAGGTGTTTTGTTATTTTTGTCTTATTGGTTTATTTTTTGTGTGTGTTTGTTTTGACATTCATTTTTTTGTGTGTTTTTTGTTTTTGTTTGTTTAAAAGAAAGGAGGGAAGGAGGGGGTGGCAGGCAGACAGGCAGGCAAGCTTTTGTCCACCATTACAAAAGCTGATCAGACGAACCACTCTAACTCAGCTACTGTACTAGATACATACATAACCAAGTGTTCATGCGCACAATAAGATTAAAAGAGAACTCTTTAAAACAGTATCAAAGCAGAAAAACACAAATGTCTATTTCCAACAAATAAACATAAATGCATAAATTATGTTATGTATATTCAGTTATACACTGATAAAAATATAAAAATACAATAACACACATTTATATACAAGGGTAAACATTCCTGAATTTCACAAGTACAGAACTGCTCAAAAGAACACATACCATACAAATAAATTAGAACAACAGGCATATTTAATCTATGGTGACAAGGATTAGTTTAATGACTTCCTTGAGGCAGGAGATCAAAAAACAGGACAGTAGCTCAGGGGTGGTATATTAGGATATGTTAGCTACAAGGCCATGTTCTTTCTTCCAAAATTCATTGAATCATGCATTTAGGATCTGTGAACTTTTCCTTTATGTTTTACCTTAATACAAACAGGACAAACACAAATTTTGCTAGTAAAACAGCTGTTTTCTTTAAGTACATGATACTGTCAAAGATTTTTCCATGTATTTTTTCAGACTTTAAGTGTAGGGTTTTTTTTTTTAATGTGGTTAATTCATACTTACACTTCAAAACTCGACTTGCTAATAGCTTTTTTCTGTCTTTTCCTAAATTATCCCATTATGAGTTATGGATTCTTATATAAACTCTCCTAGTAGCTAATCTTACTTCTACGCTATATATCTAAATCTTCTAGATAGAAAATATTTATAAATGATTTTAATATTTAATTTAGCCCCCTAAAATAAACTTGATTTGGGTAAATTAGAAACTTACTTTTCCTTTAATGTAAGAAAGAAAAATCTTTAACTCATAATTCATTCTTTGAAAAGTAAAATTAAAAAAAAATTTTAAAAAGTAAAATTAAGATACCATTTTAGTTTATGACAGATGCACTTATACCAAAGCTAATCTAAAAAAAAATTGCCATATTTAATTTTCTCCCCTTCCTTCTTTGCTGAGATAGTATTTGAGAGGTATGGACAGCCATTATCTACTTGATAGCTTCACAAAACCACCAACTTAGCAACTAAGCCCAAGGTAGGAACAGGCTAATTCTAGTTACTAAGCTTCAATTATAGTCCATTCTACAATTATCTTTCTAATATTTCATATTAGCGATGGTGCACGCCCTAATCCCAATACTCAGATCTCTGAGTTTGAGGCCAGCCTGGTTTAGAAAGTGAGTTCTAGGACGGCCACGGCTACACAGAGAAATCCTGTCTTACAAAACCACAGGGAGAGGCAGAGAAGAAGAGGAAAAGAGGGAAAACTTCTACACTGACCTTGAGAAAGCACATTTCCAGTGCTGTGCTGGTCCTGCTGAGCTTTGTGGAAGCTGTTCTTCAAACTCCTGACAGATTCCCCAGAGATAACATCTCTCCTTACTTAATATGCATTGAACATAAGGAATAAGTGGCTTACTATAATATTTTCTGAAATTTTTTTCTTCTTTTCTCTAAATTAAGAAGCCAGTCAACTTTTCTAAGAACAACCAACATCAAAGATTTGGGGCCTAATGGCCATAGAGTTTTATACTGACTACTCAATAGTTAATAGTTAGAAAGTATACAAATGAATAGGCATGGTGGTACTAATAACTCTTAGAAAAACAGGCAGCTAGTTTTGGGAACAGATTGTCAATCAGTTTTAAATACAACTGCACTCCACATATCAGAATCATACTGAAATTATCCTGAATTTGGAAGAATTCACTGATATTGGTACTACAAACTTATCAATTAAAGATGACATGTGATACATACATGTTTCAGAAGTACGAGAGATAAGGCTTCAAACCCATGTTCATTATTTCTTGGCTAAGGACAAAATGTGAGTGACCAGAAAGCATTCGCTGGTAACTGCAAACTTATAAAATCATACATTCCTGAGTACAAGAGAAGACATTCTAGCAACAACCACAAAGACCAGCAAAGACTAAACATGGCATGAAGACCATATGGGTAAAAATGGAAGGATTTCCTTTTCTACTGCACACAGGAGAAAATATACTTGAAGATTTCTTTAAACTACATGATGGACACAATTTTATATCTAAAATTTTTCATTTATTCTGGAACTTTAAACACTTAAGAGAGTTGAAATTTAAATTTAAAAAAGATTTGACCATTCTATATTATGTTTTAAAAATCTGATAACAAATTAAATAAATTAAAATTTCATTTACCTGCCGGTTCCTCTCATCCATTATGCGTGTGATTTGTATTTTCTTCCGCCCCATTTTCAGATACCTTTTCTTCCTTATATTCCAAGTAATTAATTCAGAAGCTAATTTCCTTCAATATCCTAATGCATTGTACACAGTTTCTATTACGTAACCTTCTAGTCCAAGGCTACCGTGAAAATTTTCTTGAGAATCTAAAAGAAATACAAATGAAAAAATGTCAATTCTGTACAACCTGTAAATCATTAAATGCTACAGAAATTTCAAATCTGCTTTTATACTGACACAATAAACAGTCTTAGGTTGGAATTTCTAGTTACAGACATAAAGTAGGCAGGTGAAGTCTTTAACTACCCCTAAAAGTTCACCTGGATCTCTTCATACCTTTATCTCTAAGGAAATGCTGTTACAGTATTCCAGGTTTTCACAATGTACATAATAACAAGAGAAACAACTTAAAATAGTCAATGTTACTTAAAAAATGCCTGGCATATAGAAAAATCTAAGTATGGAAAAATCTCCATTCTTATTCATTCTTACCTAGAATCTCTTTAGTTAGACTTTATTATTTCTATTTTGTAAATATGGAAGGAGACTATGGATGCAGGGACACAGAAAAAAATTAAGAACATGGCAAAAAGTCATCCAATAAAGAGGCAATCATTGGGATAACCTGGGAGGCAGAAACAGACAGATCTCTGTGAATTCAAGGATAGCCTGGTTTACAGAGGGAGTTCCAGGACAAAGATACACAGAGAACCTGTCTCAAAAAGCCAAAATTTAAAAGTAAAAATAAAAGAAATAAGAGGTTAAAATAAAGCCACGTAAAGATGGAAAATACACAGAGAATCTTGATACTGTATGTTATTATGCTCTCTTTGAATTGTTTAAATGCTGAGGAAGGAGCAACAGCTGCTAAAGGATATTTGCTTATAAATGCTGCAGAATTAATCCAAGATAGGTATTTTGAAAATACCTTGGCTTCAAAATTGAAGTCAAAAGGTATGTTACTTTGGAGAAGAGATTTTGCTTTTATTTCCACAGAAAAATGAGAGGCTGTGGATTTATTCAGAATTAAGAAAAATTAAGTTTGATCAAGGAAGACCACCAGAGAAGTCTGCAGTAGAAATAGATGGCCCAGATGTCTGAGTTCTTCATCCAGAACAGGTTCAAGACTGCTGCCTGAGATGATCAAGACTCACAGGATACTTCAGTCAGGACTTGATCATAACTCTAAATTTTCTTTAGGTCCTCATAAGATTATCAGCACCCCCAACCAGATGGAAGTAGCCTGGAATACTACACCCACATCCCAAAATATGGACTGTGGATATTTTTCTTTTTTTTTTTTTTTAAAGAGGGGGAAGTGGTGCAGGAGAATTGTCTGTATTCTGTCAATCATGTTATAAATAACTCTGATTGGCCAGGCAGGAAATATAGGCGGAAAAACCAGACAGGAAGTAGAAATGATGTAATGAGAACAGAATTCTGGGAAGGAGGAAGTTGATTCCTCCCACTCCAGCCCAGACCACCGAAGCAGCAGGATGTGATCTGCCTCACTGAAAAAGGTACTGAGCCACATGGCTAACATAGATCAGAAAAATGGGTTAATCAAGATGTGAGAGTTAGCCAGTGAGAGGCTAGAGCTAAGGGGCCAATCAGCTTATAATTTATGAAGACCTATGTGTGATTTTCTTTGGGGCTAAACAGCTGGGGGTACCGGGCAGGACAGAAAAACAACAACAAGCAGGCCTGGCCCCGTTCATGTTACAGAATAACACTTCTCAAAATCAGAATCCTGAACCTTCTATAATCAGCAACACACAATATTCTTTATTGCTCCTAATGACCGTCGTGCAAAAGATAACTAATATTTGCCCTTATAAGTTCTTCTAAATCAATTTATCCTATGGCCAAATTTGAATACTATTCATCAGTCTACAAAGATACTACTGTATAAACTTTACACTATTATGCATTTAAGTGAAATACTATTTCCTCTAGATATTAAATGAATACCTCATCTATTAAGATTCAATTTGACTATCAAATTGAAATCCAGACTAACACTTCAACTTTATCATGCAAATTCAGGGTCTGGTTAAATGCAATGGGCTCATTTCCTAGCACCAGTGTTTCCCTGCTTACTGATCTTCCATGTTCATTTACTGTTTTATACAACTGTAACACCTGCTACAATGATAAGTTACTAACTCTCCCACAATAAATGCACTCCCAAACACCAAATCAAGCATAACGATAAAATGCTCAATAGAGCTAGGGCCATAAGGAACAACACTTGTCTAGCATTCTGGAGACCCTAGGTTCACTCCCAAGTATAGCAGAAAAGGGAAAAAGAAAACAAGGGTGAGAAGGAAGAGTGAGACAAAACAGAACAAGAGAGGCAAGGAGAGAGAGACAGAAAAAAAGTAGAGGGGTGTGTGCCAATAATACATCGTTCTTCACTTCACAAAATACAGAGTCCACAAGGGGGAAAAGACATCAAACCATCACATGAATGAAGCTATACCCTTCAAAACTGAAAATGTCATTTATCTACGCCCAACTTGGATTGGCAGGTCAGGAAATGTTCACCTGAATGTGAAGATACGCATAGAAAAACTATGCCTAAAAGAATGAAGGTCAAAACAGAGATATTTTTAGGTGAATAAGAAATAGCACCTTTCAGATTATACCAAAAGGGACCTCTTCAAATAGAAGAAAAAATTGATACCAGATATAACTTGAATAGGTACAAAAAATTTAGTGAAAGAAACAGAATACATAAACAAGTCTACATAAATACTAACTAAAATGTTAACAGTAATACTTGTGGGATTTAAAATATTATTAGACACAAAATAATATTATTTCAGGAGGGTAGTAAACGGAGTTAAAGAGCTTGCATTTTATTGATGAATTAACAGGGAATTCTTTAGAGTTTATTAAGTAAAGGGTACATGTCACAATCTCTAAACCTCTGCAAGCACAATAAAAAGTATGGGTAGTTAAAAAGGCTACAAGACAGAGAAATGGATTAATGATTCAAAACAAAGAAAAGAAGAGGCTATAAACAAAAAGCAAACAGGGAGGTAACACATTTAATCCAAGTATATGGGTATTTACATTAAATATAACTAAATTAAACCTCTAACTGAAAAGGATAACACAACCACATTTTAAAAAACCTCATTTTATGAAGATTACAGAAGTACTCTCTTAACATGAGGATACAAGCAGAGAAAATAACACACTGCGTAAAACACAAATCAATACAAAGTTTTATGCCATAGTTTATCATGGCAAAGTTCAAGGCAGGACAGACACATACGAAGGGATGAAATATTGGATAATTTACAAAAAAAAAAAAAAAGTCTTATTCCAGCCAGTGGAATAGCTCAGCAGGGAAAGGTGCTTGCAAATAAGTTTGCCCACCTGAGTTTGATCTGTGGACCTGTGACCTCCATTGCACATGTACATACACAGAAACATATATACCACTAACACCATCATTAAACAGTATTGATTTTACATATATGTCTTGCCAGCATGAATATCTGTATATCACCGGTGAGCCTGATGCCCACAGAGGCCAGAAGAAGGCATAGGGGTCCCAGGAGATGAAGTTACAAACAGTTGTCATCCACCATGTGGGTATTGAGACTTAATCCTTAGTTCTCTTTAAGAGCAGTTCGTGGACTTAATTGCCAAGCAATTAATTGCAGTTCCATGCAGTTTTTTGAGGTTCATTTTAACAGTAAGATATAATATCTAATATCACATATAATCAGAAATCCTTTTTAAAAATCAGATCTTCTGGAAGGAAGTGGTGGCACACACCTTTAATCCCAGCACTCAGGAGGCAGAGGAACTTACTCAAGTTCTAGGGCAGCCAGGGCTACAAAGAGAAACCCTATCTCAGAAAACAAACAAATAAACAAACAAAACAAAAACAAAAAATTAGATATTCTATTCAAAACTATAACCAAGAGCGTATTTGCTATTTTTAAGTGAGGAAATTATGTTGTACATTAAGTCATGTTCTCCAATCACTCCTCTTTCTTTTAAACTTAACTGAAATATTAAAGAATGCTCATTCACAGAAGTAAATTGTCTAGAGCAGGATATAAAATGCTTACTACACATTTTATTGGGCAGTAACTTTCTCCCTGGCATTTTCCCCATTGGCAACCAACCACTTTTTAACATTTTTATCCATTGCATGAGTTTAAGAAAAATTGAGGGCTAAAGAGAAAAGGAAACAGACACATGCTCAAGACAAATGCACACGGCAGGCAATGGCTCATAAGTTTTTAATATGTCTTACTGCCAGCAACAGAGACACATTCTCTTCTACTACCCAGTACAGGGACTTTAAATGTCGACATGAGAGTCCAATAGTCTACCAACTGCATTGAGGATGTATTTTCTCATACAGCTGTACAACTGTACTGAATTTTACTTCTATACAAATGGACTTTTCCAAATAATTAGGGTTAGAAACAGAAGTCTGACTGTAAACAAAGTCAACCCCCAAAGGCCTGTCTGAAACCAGTTGTAATAAGTAGATTTTAGCAGAGTATTCTTAGCAACTCATGAAACAAGCAGTTCAAAATGAGTGAAATACAATCAGGTCAACACAGGTGACACACAGAACACTTTATCTGTGACTGCAGAAAATACCTTCTTTATAATCACATATAAAAGTTGCCAAGTGATTACATGCCAGATCAAAGGACAGACGTGTACAACAAAAATTTAACCTCAAAACCTTTGTATGTGTGTATGTATGTACAAGAATCATACAAGGATCTAAAAGAGCCATATTTTAAAGAATGAGAGCTATAAAACTGTTTCCATGAAATATATCAGGATATAGTACCAACATACTGAAATCTGCTGCAGTTCTACACACTTAATGTGAAACAAAGTATATTAATCAAGGAAATAAGACTAATATACTAAAAATTTTAAAACACTACTCACAAATATTACTCATGAACTATAAAACTTTACATATTTAGTATGTAATTACATATTTACAATACTACACAAAGCAATCTACAAATACAATGTAATTATATCAAAATCCTCATATTTTTGTAGCATTTGAAAAAGTCACTCTGCACTTATACTGAATCTCAAAGCAATCCATATGGTGAAAATAGTCTTGAAAAAGACTAAGACTGGAGGA